GTCGTCATGTTTTGACCAACTTTTCCTAGAATTTTGACCAAGTCGCAAAATTTTTCCCCGGAAATGTTGTCGCCGGGGGGAGGTCAAAAAAAATTTCCGGATTAATATAGTGAAAAAAATTTTTCCGGACTAATATAAGCATATTCAAAATTTTTCGACCAATACAAGCAATGCTTCCGATTTTTTCACCGCAAATGTAACTGGAGCTTTAAAATTGTTAAAAGTGCGAACCGTTTCATATTATTTAACATCTTCAACCATCTTATATATATCCCAAACTTTTACCAAATTTTTCCGAGTTTTTCCTTCAATTTTAAGCAAATATCAGTTCCATTTTGACCAACTTTGGGCAAACATCAGTTCCATTTTGACCAACTGACCAACGTTTGAATTATTGGGGTGGTGTTACACCCCACACACACCCGTATAGCGACGTCCCGTGCATGTTGCTGACATAATTTTTAGCCGGAAAAATATAGTTAAAGAGCTCAAACAGAATAAAAATTGTCTGAAATTTCGTGCAGCAATTGAACACCCTACACATTTCCCCCCCATTAACTCAAAATATGATTCAAGGTTTTTAAGTCTCGTGCGCAAACCATTTTTAGTTTGTTGGAAAAGACACCTCCACCAGGTTTACAAAATTTGAATACGCGATCGAGAAATTGTTTTCATTATTCTACATTATAAATATCCAAAGAAGCTATATAGATATGTATATCAAAAATTGGATACTAACAGTCGTTTTGCGAAATTGGGAGTAATTTCAGATCTGTTCAGTTTTTTTACACTGTATAGATCCTTGTATACACTAAATGAGAAAGAAAAAGATCAACAACCCATGCACACTGCATGGCGCGAACTACCTCATCTTCTAGATGTAACCTTAATATGAACAGCTGATATAAATCTTAGAAAATAAGAGACCATGTTGACCTTTGAGAAACTCATTTCTTTTCAATTTTACGGCTTAATCGAAAAGGTGCATAAATTCCGTGTTTGCTTGAGTTATAGTAAAACTACAGCACTTTGACAATCAGCGATAGCCCTTTGCACCTGATTCTATTAGTCTACCAGCCGCACTAAACTGACGAGTTCAATTGAAAAGCGCAAGCGCTTTCACTCACATAAACCGAAATCAGTCCTCACAAACAAAAAATGAGACTACCATGGCATCGCGAATAATGCAGACTGACCTGTATTAGACTTTAAAAAATTCCACGATTTCAGCTGCTTTGTGTACGCCTGCAGAGTAGAATTAAGCCTCCGTGGGTAACATGTTTAAATGCAACAGTTGAACAACTCATATGTTTTGCTCTAAAATATACCCGTTTGCTTTGCCCAAAGATGCATTAAGATATGAGGTATACCTTGTCCTATACGTTTTATATACTTTGTTCTAGTTTGCGGAGTGGAAACCCCTGCATGCAGTGGGTAACAGATCATAAGCTATGAAATGCAAAGCGTATCACGAACGAAGATCACAAAGAGGGTACGGACCAATAAACTGCTCCATACAAACTATTGTATGATCTTTAACATAACATATACATGTGCCGTCGTCATATGTCAGCCATGTTGAAAGTAAAGCAAGGCTAAGGCACGGGCAGCAAAAGGGCGGAGCTAATCAAGCTGCATTCTTCGTTCTGTAATTTGCCTCGTTTTTCATTCCAACATGGCTGACAAGTAAGAAAAGTCTATTGTTGATTTGTATATAAAATCAATTATTAACGCATGCATATAGATGACACGCGAGAAAATTAGCCATGTTAGGACTTGTTTTGAAATATATATGCCAACATGTCCGAGTTAGGGACTTCTATCGTCTTGCGTGTCTATATAGTATACATACGTCTTAGATATATGTATATAGGAGTCGTCAAACTAGTCACGCGACTAACGTAAAAATTGCGAACTTAATTAAAGTCTTAAATATATGACCAATAGTCCAGTTATTTTTTATCATGCAGCGACACCTTATAATAGTCCAGTATCTATTATCATGCAGCGCCAGCAATTAACATTCCAATCGAACTGTAGTCCAGTGATCAAATTTCATACAGTAGCTGAGCCGACGGCAGAAATTTTGGGGGGGGATCACTTCACGAGGTACATATTCGGATCTGCGGGACTATTAAGGATAATTCGGTACTTTTATAGGGTAATCAGGGACCTTTCTGGTATTTAAATATTTAGCATATAAATGGCGGGAAAATATTGGAATTATTTAAATTTTCCGCACTCAATTGATTCTCATTTCTCGCTGCCAATCTTGCGTGCTTCAGTAAGCAAACGGCTAAATAATATTGGGACACTTAGTGTAAACTTGGGATTATTCAGGTACTCATATAAATAATTATTATCACTAACCTTTTACGAGAAATATTTAAATTTTCCAGAAATAAATACTAACGTGTGTGGCAATAATAGCCTGAAGTAAACCGAATGCTGAAGTACGAATGTAAAATCTATATTAGAAGTTGCTACGACTGAACTTCTGCCTCGCCCTCAGCTTACACAGTTAATAATGCAAAGTCTATAAAAGTGTCGTGTTGGCATTTTGCATTGCGCACAGGCAAATTTTGCTCTTTGAATTTTGATAATCATGATGAGACCTCAGTGCGCCAATCATAAGCACACGAGTGTGTGGTTAATAATAATAATAATAGCATTTATTTTAACGCGATAGATATTTACAGCATAAGCTGTTGGGGTCGTGTAACCAGTATATCCTAATAATTAAAAATTACACTTACATTAGACAAATATATGCATACAGTAAGTTAATGTTATTATTTACACTTCAGTTTTAAGAACCTAGCTTGTAGTGTTTCTAGATATTAATAATTAGTCAAACATTGTAGAACTTAAGGATTCTAGTTTGGCAACAGTATTTTTAAAGGTGTCCAAGGATTCTAATTTCCTTGATTCATTACTAAGATTGTTCCACAGCACAGATCCCTTATAAGTTATGGATTTCTTCATAATTTCTATTTTAGGTTTTGGCAAGGATAAACAGTTCTCATTTCTAAGATTGTATGTGCTTGATCGTTTAGCAAATAATTCTGGAATAGAGACTGTATTGTAAGCGGTTACCAAGCTCCCAAAGAAAGAGATCCCCCAAAAAATTCTGCGAGTAGACGAGCTTAGTCAGGTCAATGAGCAGCTGACATACGCAAAATCGGTCAGTCAAAAAGTCAAAATTCAGTGTTCTGATTGGTCTAGACGCTTATTGTCATGGAAACAAGCGATTTTTTGCGATTTTGACTGATTTGTGGGGAGTTCTGACCGATTTACAAAAGTCAAGGGCGCCTCATTAGTCGGAATATCATTAATACTTGACGCGTGGTAATGTCTTTCCAAGCGCGCGCTCATTCGAAGTGTCATGTTGAAGCTTTGTCGAAAGATTCAATTTAAAATTATCTACGGAGATTTCGGAAATGTCTGCTGCTCCAGTTCTTGTAGTATTCATGATCACGGAACGGTTGAATCCGCATTTGCGGTGAATGATTTAGCTGTCTTACAAGACTGTTACGCTGATCTTCGGAGGAAAATCGTCGCTAAATATCGGAGAGTTCGATTCAGTGAGCAGTTGCTAGGCGCCAGAAATAGCACGAACTACAGTTTGACTGTTTGAGTGGAAGCATTCACTATTGGCGCCGAGATCTTTATTCTGAAGTGCAATAAGGTAAATTTAGTGTGATACGTACTGTAAATTTTATTATTTGGATCGCTGAGTTTATAATATAATTATACGTTTATAATGCGGACTCATGGAATCATGGAATGTAACAATGTTGTCTGCGTTAGCGCATCGCATGCTCAGAGACCATGGGCATTTGTGGATAACGTTTGTATTTGTGAGTAATACTTGTATTTCATTGGGCATTACGAAAACATCTCCTGAGGATCACGCCACGCTTTTAGCATTTCACCGTTTCTCTGTAAAGACTGTAATATTATACGGGATTTGTACCCAGCGAATTTATACAATAGATGAATAGAATGGAATATAAACAAGGACAAGTTAAAGGTTTGACAGTTTGACTACAAAATATTGTATGCGCAGAGTAGAATTTATACCTCCATGTGTTTGTA